CGGCCAGTAATGCCCTTTGCTCCTAGTAGCGATGCCCTTGTTCCTAGCAGCTTCTTGTTCCTAGTAGTACGGCCAGGAGCCCCTAGTGGCGTCCTTGCTCCTAGTAGCGATGCCATAGCGTCCTTGTTCCTAGTAGTACAGCCAGCAATGCCCTTTGCTCCTCGTAGCGATGCCCTTGTTCCTAGTAGCTTCTTGTTCCTAGTAGTACGGCCAGGAGCCCCTAGTAGCGTCCTTGCTCCTAGTAGCGATGCCAGGAGCCCCTAATAGCGTCCTTGTTCCTAGGAGTAGGGCCAGCAATGCCCTTGGCTCCTCGTAGCGATGCCCTTGTTCCTAGTAGCTTCTTGTTCCTAGTAGTACGGCCAGGAGCCCCTAGTAGCGTCCTTGCTCCTAGTAGCAATGCCAGGAGCCCCTAATAGCATCCTTGTTGCTGGTAGTACGGCCAGTAATGCCCTTGGCTCCTAGTAAGTAGCGATGCCCTTGTTCCTAGTAGCTTCTTGTTCCTAGTAGTAAGGCCAGGAGCCCCTAGTAGCTTCTCAGCATGTTAGCGTCCGGAGTGGTGGAAACGGGACGCTGTGCATGCTTTCCATTCAAAACGACAAAGCAAATGTACACATTTGCCATCAAAAGTGTTTATCAAAGAACAGCGCATGCGGCAAATGCATGAAGAACGAGTAGCACGACAAAACACATCTGACTGATCACTGGGGGTTTTCATCCTCTGCTGCGAGCCTGTGCGGACACAGAACGTGCGCCTGCCACGTTCACTGGCTACTTTGTCTTCACACGCTGTTCCGCAAAGCAAGAACAGCAGTAACTAACGCGCTGCACGCAACAGCGCTTCAAAGATCTAACGAGCAAGATCTGCCAGTGGCTGTAGAATGATCCAGAGCGATTTCATGCAAAAATGTAAACCAATCCCTACCGGTAGGCCCTACCAATCCCTTGTTTGCAAGCAGCTGCACGCAAATGCCACAAAAACCAACGCATCTTCGCCTTCTTTCTGGATAGGCGGCAAGTGTTCTGTTGGCTTGGCCTGGTGATGTTGGTTTAGCTTTCGGCAAAACTGCACAAAGCTAAACGCACCCTTCCCTACTTAATTCAGTAGGCGCCTACTTATATAATCAAGTAAGGGGCTAGTAAGCTACTAGCTACTACTACGCTACTAGCATGGTCACGCACTAATCATTTGGTTCCTAGATTTTTTGGGAACTTAACATGTTGCAAAGTTTTCTTTTAACGTTCCCGGTCGATTTGTGATTCATAACAAACAGGACTAAAAAGAGGCATGAAGACCTGCAATGGTGGTTTCAATCAAAGCTGCGAGTTGTGAGAATGGAGATAATATTTTGTTCATTTCTATAATGACTTATAGAAACTCGCAAGTGTTCTGAGACCAACGGACAAAGCTGCCTGCTTGGCATCCATGGATCTCCTCCGCAAGCGGTGCGCGACCACTGAGTCAGAATCGGCATGTTGCTTTCCACAAAACATTTTCCAAATAGATATTTGGTGATCAAATGTGATCATCTTCGCTTTCTCCAACTGTCTTTAGGTTTTCCAAGTGGGTGTGTCACTGGCTTGAAGGCAACCAGCGATGATCAGCGAAGGCACGTTGAAGGAATGAATGGATGGTTTCATCCTTGTCTCCAGCTTGCTCCGCGTCCCTTCTCTTGATGAGAGCAGTCGCTGCAGCGGGGCTTTGTCGAAACCTCAAGCAAGCCAGAAGATATGCTTGCTAGTTAAGTACTAGCTAGAATATGTCAACATCGTGTATCAGGGTGGCGCCTGGCGCCCACAACAATTCTCTATTCTTGAATCTACGGCCTAGAGGCACATGCAAAAACCGGTGAACCCATTTTGATTTCAAGGAGCGCTGGAGATAGTGCAGCAT